TAAGAGCCGATTTTTCTTATAGCTTTTGGCTTCAATCATAAATTTAAAGCTATGACATGACATGACCAAGATATGGCAAGACATGAACAAGATATTTTTAAATTATGCTAGATGTAGAGGGTCGTATGAACTGCTAAAAAACATTGTGTTTATAAATTGTGCTTTTCGGACTTATAAAGACCTCTTTTGTAGACTACCCACATCAAAATCAAAACAATCAAGATATAACGTTTTATGCATTAAGAGACATTAAAATGTCATGCTTAAAGTTTTTCAACGTGCGATTGCCTTTATGAATATTCTTTCTTCTGTCCACTATTCTTATTTAGTTACAATCTACTCGATATGTACAAGTATAATGTTATTAATTGAAATAGTAACATATTGTTTTCTTGCGTGTTTAGTATGTTTAGAATATTTCTTATCCCGTTAAAAAAGCTTTATTCATGATTTGCCCTTTAGATCGATATAGCTTTATTTTTGTCAGAGAGTACTAAAAAAGTTGAGTATGTTATTCCCTTTTCAGGAAAGTTTGTTAGGATCGTCTTTCAAATTGTTGTTGTCAGTGGCGGCTCGTGACATTGAGAATAGGTGAAGCATATTCAGTGATTAACTACAAAGAAAAAAAAAAACGCCGCAGGCGAAAATTTTCAAATTTTCCAGGTCAAACGACTTTAAATGAATCTGGAAATTTTTAGTTGCATTTGCAATATTATCGAAAAACTGACGCTCGCGAGAAGGATTTTCATTTAGACTTTATAAAACAGAAAAATATTAGTCCGGCTTGTGGACTTCTGCGAACATTCACGCACACCGTACATGTATGTTCCAAAAAAACTTTGTGGTTACGACAGCCTCGCGTGCCGTTCCCAAAATTGTAAAATTCCTCCATATTCCACACGCCCCAATTTTCCACATGGAAAATGGAGTTTCCAATAAAATACATACTGGATCATACATAGGAAACATTTCTACAATAATTAAACAAAACAAATATTGACTAAGAACTGTTATAATCGTGCACTGGGCGCCTCGTCTTCAATATCCACGTCACTCGTTCCCCCACGCCGAAGTTTACTCCCGTGTTGGCCGCCTCGTTGCCAAGACAACCGCCGTAAACAACGCTTCGTTGAGAAGCGGAATACAGACTCATTTTGATCTGCATCTCTTGCGTATGCTACATACGTATAGTACGAGATTGATGTTCGCGCTCAACGAAGGCAATGATTTTTTAGAAGGCGTTTACCGCGTAACTATTCTGTCTTTCTGCGTATTAAACAACCAAAAACAATACATTTTCAATATAGAATTATACCTAAATTACAAAATTTATATAAAATTAAAAATAATTTTAAATTGCACAACCAGGCGCAAATTTTTGGTGAAGCGGTGCGTCACTTGCGTCACCTGACGAGCCGCCACTGGTTGTTGTTGTTTTTGTAACCGGCGGTTACCCACAACATTCAGGTACATTGTGCACGACATTAATAAGTGTAATTTTAAAACAAGTTAATGCTTACTGCGAAACTTGCTTCTCGCACTGGCAATCAGACCAATTCTACTCAAGGGTTTGATATTTATGACGCACTAGAAGACCTGTGGCAATCTAAATGCTACTTCTGCGGAGTAAACTAATTTTCTAACTAAACTAAGCCTGTCCCGTCGCAGATCATATCCAACTGACCATTTTTCCAATGATCTTCCTTTGATCCAAATATCAATGGATCCTCTTACATAACATTGGAGCATTGATTGAAATGTTCCTGTCTGGCTAATAGGCTGTCCCTTTGGTTGCCAGTTACGTTGCTGCGTCAGAAATTTTGATTCACATGAGTTTCCCGCCTTAACAGGGATAGGACATCGACAAATATAAGTCAATGCGGAAGGTAATCCGGTATGACAACAGTATCAAGGTTTCAGGTCAACCTTCGATACGAGGAACAGGGACGAAGTTGTGGCACTGGATTAAGAACTGGTATATACCATCAAAAGCGTCCATATCGGATCACCATTAGGAATAATAATCGGAAACCCAAGACTAACAGACTGGGGCCCTTATAAATAGAGATTCTCTGAATTTTGGGGTAAGAATATATAATATCTAGGACAGGCAAAAGTTTCTGCATATGAATAGTGTTGTCCGATCAAACCAACTAGGAGAACTCAGCAGTTCCTTGATGGTACTCTGGTCTTTAAGCGAAACCCCAAGAAGCTCACAGGTTCTATATCCACAAAACAGATGTAATAAACTCATATGCCTAGAACAGATAAGGCCTAAGTTTTAATGCTTGTTGTCTCGGAGATGCTGATGAACATCTTTTCATCACTTGGAAATGCAGAAACATGCTTGAACTAAGTGGAACCTTTAGGCACCTCGCTAAACAGATTCTTATTCGGCATTTTTTGACATTCACGAGTTTCTACGTAACTACGATCTGCGTCGAATAAAAAACAAAGCATAAAAGAGAGAAACCAATAAAGGTTCGGAGTGAATCCATTGAATGAAATTATTGAGTACATTTTTACTCAATACTGGGCATTTTGATCACTTTTCTCATTTGTGATTATATTTAAACTAAAACTGTGTACTTTCACTCAAATATAGGTACTCCTTAAATAAATTCTTCACGTAAACTCGGTATTTGGTGCACTTGTACCTAAATCAAAATAAATCCTCATTACCGAGTGAGTTTAAATGTATATTAATTTCGAGTAATTTGAATGGCGCCGTGATGATGGCACCACTTACATATTGCTCCTGTAGTCTTGACCACAGTTGAAAGGACCCCGTTAGATGCTCCAGAAAAACGTGATCGCCAGGAGAATAGTCCTTAGCCGGCGGCGGAGGGTCTCAGCCAGGACGGGAGGAGGCCCTGCGAAGTGAATTCATTTCAACACTGTATATCCTAATTAATTTATGAGTGATTTATTTTTGCACTCAATATTTAGTTAATTAAAAACCAGTCTGAGTAAGAAATGGCTCAATAACAGTTAAATTTAAATCATATTAGAGAAAAAGTCAACTCTAAATTGGTTTTATATAAGGTAAAAGCACCATATTCCGACGTATGCTGAATCGAGCCCTAATCCCGCTTTATTTCCTAAGGCAAACTTTGTCAGTCAATATATTTAAATTGACAACGAATATCTAAACGCGATTAAATTTGTTCGTTACAGAATTTATTAGATTGCACAGCAGCGCCAAAGTGGTGGGGCAAGCCACCCTCGTTTGAATCTAGTTTGCATTTAGTTCCGACCGGGTCAGTTTANTTAAATAAATTCTTCACGTAAACTCGGTATTTGGTGCACTTGTACCTAAATCAGAATAAATCCTCATTACCGAGTGAGTTTAAATGTATATTAATTTCGAGTAATTTGAATGGCGCCGTGATGATGGCACCACTTACATATTGCTCCTGTAGTCTTGACCACAGTTGAAAGGACCCCGTTAGATGCTCCAGAAAAGCGTGATCGCCAGGAGAATAGTCCTTAGCCGGCGGCGGAGGGTCTCAGCCAGGACGGGAGGAGGCCCTGCGAAGTGAATTCATTTCAACACTGTATATCCTAATTAATTTATGAGTGATTTATTTTTGCACTCAATATTTAGTTAATTAAAAACCAGTCTGAGTAAAAAATGGCTCAATAACAGTTAAATTTAAATCATATTAGAGAAAAAGTCAACTCTAAATTGGTTTTATATACTCAGAATAGTGTCAAAAGTCGCTCAATTGATAGTTAGCAGTAATTCGGATTAGAGTAAAACTCACTCATTTCTGATGCAATAGTTTCACTCAATTGTACTAATAGAGTGAAAATTTCACTCAATCGGGTGTAGTCAGACATAGATACATTATTGAGTAAAATTGAATGTTTGAGTGGAATTTTTTTACAGTATATTGTCAAGCTAAATTAGGCAATTTTAGCACAAACTTATTGAATTCAAACAAATAAAAATATAAAACCGTTTTCTTTAGGTATCTCTTAAATAAATCCAGGAAACGATAAAATCTCAATCCCAGAACTTTGTAATTTAAAAAAATCTATAATCGAACAAAGATATCTTCCATTTCTTGTTGGAAAATTACTTTAATTAAATTTCGTAACTTTGCTATAATTTTATTATTTTTACGATTTCCGGGATAGTAATGCTATCACATCCAATTTGAAACTCATTGGATTCAGCTCTATTTGAAAAAAATAAGTTTCATTACTTTGAAGTCGTTTTTATAATGATATTTTCGAAAAGCTCAGACCACCCAGCGTTTGAAAATGCCAATTAAAGATCTAGTAGGTACAACAATTCAAGAAATATACTTTTTAAGTAGATACTGGAGAACTTTAGATTATGTACCCCAAAAATATTCAGATTTATCTTTGTCAAATTTTAACTGGTTACTTATTTTTTTGAAAAAAATTACATTTCACGAAAATATGAAGTATTTACTGAAAAATGGAAAATCTTACATTTGTATTAGATATAATAATAATAATAATAATAATAATAATAATAATAATAATAATAATAATAATAATAATAATAATAATAATAATAATCTTATAAATAGAGATTCTCTGAATTTTGGGGTAAGAATATATAATATCTAGGGCAGGCAAAAGTTTCTGCATATGAATAGTGTTGTCCGATCATACCAACTAGTAGAACTCAGCAGTTCCTTGATGGAACTCTGGTCTTTAAGCGAAACCCCAAGAAGCTNCCTTCAGAAAAACAAGTGCTAGTGAAAAAAGGTTCCAAGACTGTTTATAAAAGAGTCATAAATGATGATAAAGAATGCCTCACAGTTTTAGCTAACGTTTCTGCGAGCGGTCAAGTAGCACCGCCGATGGTGGAATTTCCATATAAGTCCAAGATGCCAAAAAATATCCCGCCATCTATGCCAACTGGTTGGGGTTGTGGATATACCGAGAGTGGTTGGATGAATGCGGAAGCATTTTTTGAATATGTAACCAACGTCTTCTTTAACTGGTTAAAAAAAAACAACATTACACTGCCCGTCATACTTTTCCTTGATGGCCATACCAGCCATATTTCATTGGCATTGAGTGAGTTCTGCAAAGTAAATGGAATTGTATTGGTAGCATTGGTTCCTAATTCCACCCATATCATGCAGCCATTAGATGTAGCAGTATTTCGTCCCGTTAAAGCTACGTGGCGAACAATAGTTCATGATTTTAGAATTAAACATGAATTCAACAAAATTAAACGAACGGATTTTTCCATGCTGGTAAAAGAATGTTTTGATAAGACCCTAAAACCTCAAACAATTCAAAGTGCATTTGAATGTACTGGATTATATCCTTTCAACATCGAAAAAATTAAATTCGAGAAACTACAAACAAAAAAAAATCCAGCTTCACACGTCACATCTCCACAGGCCTCTTTAGAAATCACTGCACCAGGACCAGATTTTAGAAAAGAGTTTGAAAGCAAACTATCGCCTGAAACAATACGCCAGTTTAAACAATCTTTTAATTCAGGTTGGTCAGGAAATGCATCTTATACCAAACTTTTTGAATTCTGGAAATCACTTAACCCTGAAGAGCAAGTCAATGACCAGCTATTATCAAATTCGATATTAAGTGAAACTACACAACATATTGTCCAAGACCTTGAAGAGCTTCTGCATGATGATGAAGAGACCTCGTTACATCAGTTAGGTGACTCAACACTAATTAACAACATAAACGATGATGAGGATTTTAGTTTATTTAGCATTGGACAAGATGGCTTTTTAGAACTGGACGCTAGTGCTGAAAATGAAACTTTAGACCTAAAAAATAACGAATCCATGACAACTGATAATTCAAACAGAAGCCACATAAAATCAGCAGACCAAATCATTGAAACAACATTAGAAGCTAAATCAACAGTAAAATTAACTTCCTCTGCAAAACAATGTCGTAGTAATTCAGCTAACAACAATGCCACAAATAAAATTCAAATTTTAAAAATAGAATACCTTGAACCAGCTAAGCTTCCAAACGATTCAGTCAATGACAATAATTTTCTTACGCCTCCCAGTCAAACATCCTCCGTAAACTCTGATGTTAACCACGCTACAGTCAATGATAAAGAAAATATTTCTTTAAATAACAATTTGCTTACACCTCCCAATCAAACGCCTTCCGTAAAATCCGATTTTGTCAACCCACCACTTTCTGAAGTATCTCCGGAACAACGTCAATCATCTTCGTCATATTTCAGAACTCCGCCCAAGTTTCCTACACCGTTTAAAAACGCCTTTTATTTTCCCAAGAAGCCGAAAGAAAATGCAAAAAAGCGAGTAACAAAAAAGATAACACCGATTGTTGCCATAGCTGATGAATTTGTAGAGTATCAAAGACGACTAGAAGCCGAAAAAATGGCAAAAGAAGAAAAGAAAAAAGAAAGACTTGCCAAGAAAAACGACAAGAAAATTAATACAACAATTCCTAAGAAATTAAACAGCAGAAAAACAAAAGAAGTAGACCAAGAACAAATAAACCAAGAAAATCCGCAAGCAGAAGAAACAAAAATTGATAAAGAACATGAGAATGTACTGACCGGAAAAGAACAGGTAGAAGAAAAATCAGATGATGTTACAATGAATTCAGACAAAGCAAAAGACGAACAAGTAGAAAGTGAATGCAAAAAAGACAGCGGTTATCAAAAAGATGATTACGTGATTTTTATATATGAAAATAAATATTTTCCAGGACAAATTATTGAGAGAGACAAAACCAAATTTTTTATTAAGGCCATGGAACGAATTGGGATACATTGGAGATGGCCAACTGTTGAGGATGTCATCTGGTATGAAGAAGATGAAATTGTTTCTCGTATAAGTGCTCCTCGCCTTACAAATAAGAGAGGATTTTACTCTGTTCCTGAGATACTTACTTACTTACTTAAGTGATAAATATGATATATATTGTTATCAATGATATAGGTATAAATTTTCAGTATTACCAAAGTTTGTTTTTGCATTTGATGTAAGTTCTTAAATACTTAAATGTTGTTTTTCTTAAAAAAAGTGTTTTCTATGTACCTAAACAGTATAATAAATTGTTATAAATTTGTGTTTTTTTTTATCATAAAAGGATTCTTTTTGAATATTGTAATATCTTTATTACTTTAATAAATATACGATATATTTGTTCTCTGCATGTTTTTTCTCGTATTTAAGGTGTTTTGTGTTAATTACACCACATTTTAATAAAATACAATACAGAAATATTCGTCAGAATTAAGAGATTTTGACGTTTATTAAAAAAAATATTTTTCACCAAAAAAGACATTATATTATGTAAAAAAAATATATGCCTATAATTCAGAACATATCACTTCACATTCTAAAAATGCCAGGCATGATATAACTAAATCTCTTTTTCTAATATTTGAACTCAAACTCAAAAACCCTAAACTGCGGCGGAATATGGTGCTTTTACCTTAGATAAAATAAATAGCTTACGTTGTAAATTAATTA